AATCAACCACAAGCCATATTCAACTTTAAGCATTTATTGTCAGCTAATAAAGCCTTATGCCGTCTCCTGTACATACAAAGCACCGTCTAAACTCAAACGGCACAGTATCGGTAACTCATAGTATTGCCCTCCTGGATCCCTTGGACCTCCGCCCTGCCAAACCCGTGGACTTCCGGATGCCTCTTCGCCAAGGATTCCACACTCACTAACTCTCTGGGAATCGCGGCGTACAGTCACATTGGGCATCGGATGGACGCGTGGATTGTGCGGTGGATCGGGATCAGGATGGATGGAAGTGCACAATCGCACTGGGATGTTGCGGGATGGATTGTTTATTTTGGCACGGCCAAGCATCGTTCGTGGGGGTGACGTGTGGGAATAGGATCACACGCCGGAGTACGTACTGGATGCTGACTGTCCGCCTTCCACCTGCAACACAACGGATAATCTAGTCAATCTCTTCTGTGATTTGCTGTTCTCTTTTACTAGCGATGTATATGATGTCATAACGCGAAGTCTATATAAGTTCTTGTTACTTCTAATATCGGGATCAGTAGTCTGAGATTTACTTCTGAGACTGCTTTCTATTTACGATTTCCTAGCGTTGTGAACTGTGATGTGAATTGGATAAAGAGGCAGCAATACTTGTTCCTACGGAAGTGCATAGTCGTTCCCGGATTATCGCTTAGTATACAGGTTTGCTCGTGACACAATCGTCCTAGCTCTTGCCGATCCTCACAGGACTTACGACCGGAGATTGTAGTTGGACTATCGTTTAGGGATTCCTGACTCGTGTTCCTGATTCGTTCGTCTTATTTCCACCATAGTTCTTCTGTTACAGTTTGAGAGTACGAGTGCCTACCGATTGAGCATTACAGGCGTGGAAGAGTAAAGATTGTTCATGGAGCCTTAATCGGCGTGAACGCTTATACACGACAACCGGTAAAAATTACAGCAATAAATTATGATGGTCATGTCCACCGGCTGAACTGTGCCTGCTTCACTGGAGTAAACCTTACTTCATGTCTGGACCGTTTAATCATTAATATACTTAATGTGCGCAAGTTATTTATGTACTCATAATTAATGTTCATCGCCAGATTCAAGGCACTAGTGCCGTTTGCAGTTGCATGTAATTTAAACACTGGCATGTCTAAGTTACATAATTCTCGACTATGGCTGTCAATCATATGCCTGATTCATAGAAACATTGAGATACATACTGTAGAATACTGTAGAATACACAGAATACATAGAATACGCGTCCTCAATCACCTCTGGCTTTCTTATCTCCGGTCTGGTTTTGTTTTGACCAGGATTATGAATCATAATATTCTGAACCGATCTGCTTTTTAACTGGTCGAAGGAAAGATACGGCACGTTTTACAAATACCCGCGTGAACAGCTCCGTTTTGCAAATACGCATCATGGCATCAGGCATGCAAGTCATGAAAACAACAGCCTACTACGCACATACACTTTAATACATATATATACATAAGCGTCTAAATAAGCAATTATAAATTGATCTATTATCAGGCTATTAAGTAACTTATCAACTTACGTTAATTGCAATTTACAGTTTACACTGCGTTAATCAAGTCAGAAATGTACTGTACCATGTCGGCTAACTACGGTATGTAAACGTTTCCAGTTTAATTCAGCGCCACAAAATGAACTGACACTTAATTAGCAACTGATCTGCTTAATTAGTTAATTAATCTGCTTAATCAATTAATTTTTGCCAAAGGCGAAACCTTGCGAAAAATATCTCAGCACATTCTTTAGAAAAGCGGTGCAAAACATTCTTATCCATGATCCATCGCGCTAATTGTTTCCCTCTTATACGTGCAATTAGCAACGTACTACGTAGCTTCTCTTTAGAAAATTTAAAGCGAAGATTATTTTGTAAGAAAAATATTAGATTCTTTTAGTCAAAATTCTTGAAGTATCATTTCCTGTTATCATTCTCATTCCTTATCTCTTCGCTGCTCTTCGAGTCTCCGGTGCCGCTAATGCAAATCGTCTTACGATAAATGCATTTTACCGGTGATGTGCGACCAGTAAGAGTAGCATTCAAACATCGCTCGCATAAGTCCATCGGTATGTGTTGTAATTGGTTATTGCTTATCTCTTTGGACTTCGAACCAAAAAAATTGTTAATGCAATACCAGGCTGGGAAAGATAAAGCTGGATATGCTTGAGGTCTGCTAATATCCCCTTTCGCTGACTGGTATCGATCTTCCATTCAAAAAAAGACTTGCATGACCAACCATTTCGTATACAACCAGAGTAGAAATTTGGGGAAATTACGAAGCTTAAGCATCTCTCGGCTTCAGACGTTGTGTTACCAAAGCCCTGGCTCGAGTAGCCGGGAGTAATTAAGACAAAGGACAGGTGGTCGGCTTAGATGTTGCGTAAAAATTATGTAGATTTATTCAGATGACTAATGTGATTGTTATTAAAAATATTTTCCACGCGCCGTAAAGATGAGTCTTTTTCACTTGATTCACTTCCGTATTACATTTAATTCCTGTCTATCAGGTGGAAACTGCAGATTTTGCTATTAAATGTTCTTGCAACGACTAGACAGCGTGGCTGTCCTTACGTTTAAGCAAACGGGGCTCCGGCAATGTGTAGCATGACAATTCAGCATCATGCCAGCCGCGGTCGCCGAGGTCGACCGGGACTGGCATCATGAGTTGCTGACCTTTAAGTTACTGTAGCGGATTGTGGTTACTGATTGTTGTGGCTTTTTTCGGGAGTCTGATGGAAGCGCGTGGCGATAAGTGCCCGTTCGCTCTAAGTTAGCGCATGAAGGAAAACCGGTGACCTTGTGCAGTGGTGTGTAGTATACCAAGCGATAGCAGCAGTAAATTTTAACTGTACTATTAAAAAGAGTCTACTGGGTGTACCTTCACTCTATGCCAGCTTTAAAAGACTTCATGCTCGGTATTGAGTGTGATGATACGGTGGATAATTTCCGCGCTCTTACAGCTGTTAAAAGTCGTGTTGGCTCTTGGTTCTAGCCACGTGATACAAGCATTTTCCGACTTCCAGACCCCCGTTGACTGCCCGACTGGTCTGATTTGTGAGCCGAAATGGCATGGACTTGGATTACAAAGCGATGGTAAACAACCACCCGCGTATACAACATATACGTATATATAAATTACCCGTTAAAAAATCGACGTATAATATGATCATATGTACCGGTATAATGGTGTCCTGTAACTTGTAAGCACTTAATTAAAGAGCAAATGCTGAAATATAATATAATTATATATATGTATGTGATATATCTAACCCCCGGTTCCGAAAGCCTTTTTCAGAATGATTTGAGACTAAAATTGAATAAGACTGTCCTGTGCCTCTTAAACTTAATTCTCAGGGCTGAGTTTAGCGTATTTGCACTGGCGTCACTTGTGATACAAACTGGATAATTTAATATGTACCCGAAAACGATACCAAATTTTTTTTTCGTGTCAGTCTTACTGAAACTGCAGCGAGCTGATATTCAGCAACAACTAAAGCAGCTGTTAGTCGCGATTAGAAAGCGGCTATTTTCACAACAAAAAAGGGTTCAAAATTCTGATACAATTCGCATTCGGGGTTCCCATTTTTGATCCGATACCGTGCAGACCCCAGTGAGCGGCATTCGTGCAGACCGGGACCGTATAATGTAATCACATAAACAATATAATTATATTCAGTATTGTAAAGATGGTTTTTCCGGTATATACAGATCTGCGATGGATTCCCGGAGGGCGGTAAGGACCCGTGCCAAGATGACGGGTCCTTATCGCTCCCCGGAACTGTAAGGTGACGGTTATAAAACCCGTCACCCATGTCAAGGTGACGGGAGGTGGTCGTGCAGGCCAAGGACCAACTGTATGGTTAGGGTACATGCTAGCACAAACGGGACAAAATTCGCTGAATTTCCTGTCCACAGAAAAGGAATGGTAGAAAAGCAGATTGAGTTTAAGTTATCTAAACAATTCACGTTTTTGATACGAATCATGTTTCGGTTGTTTTGAATCTGTGAGTTGGTCTCTATACAATATACCCGTCCACTATTCATTTCCACAAAATTAAATTCGGACAAAAGCAGCGTGTACAGCAATGGAACAGTAATAAAGCAGTTAGCTGGATCGTTGTTAGTCACGGCAACAGCAGATATATTAAACAAAGATTTGGAAAAAATTCAGGAACGGTGATACGCGCAGCAGCTATTACTGTTAACACGGGCTATTACTATGTACCGGTATTCATAATGCGGTATTGAATATATATATTATAATGCATTTGCTACTAATATTCAGTTCAGGAGCGCACTGCTATGAGTAGCGGCAATTAAGGTATGAGTTATGATTATGAATAAAAATATGATGACCGGTAGGACCAAAGTATGGTTATGAATATGAGAGCCATTATGAGTATGAATTCTGAATTAAGAATAGGATTATGAGTATAAGGACCGTTATGATTATTAGGTAGATACCTGGCCGAATTCAATCTCGTATGTTCATGTGCTCATCGGTACTTTATTTTGTTGCTTCGTGATCTGTGCGAACAATATTTTCAGCTGGACACAGTTCTGATTTCTTGCTGTACGTGTTGCCGCAAAACTACTGTAATAGGTTTTGAATCTTTTGATTACGATAGCTTCTGTACGGGTTTCATATATGTGGAACGCTACATTGATAATTGATATCTAATCCATAACCGATATTTGGAAGTAGCGGATTACCCGTTTAAGCAAACTGACCGGTGAGTACAGTAAATCTCCCGGTGCTATCAGTGACGGCGTGCACATATCAGCGGCAATTTACAAGTACTTCACTTTACAAACAGTTATCGCATATAAACAATCTTATTTATATAATACAAAACAAAAACATTTAAAGTTTACACTTACTCGCGTAATTATTTTGGGATATCGGAAACTGGCCAACCAAGCTTGTGAAGGAAATTGCAATATATTAACTTTTATTCGGCAGTCGGCGTTGAAAAAAAATCTTCCACGCTTTTTGCTTTTTAGTTTTAATTGTTTCTGGCCATTTATGATATTGACGCCTTCAAAAGCATCATAAACATCATTCCCGCCATGGCCAAATATTGTTACCACTGTAATTGTCATTAATTTTGTCAGCGGCGTATGTATGATATAAGCGTTTCGCGCGGCAAGAAAAAGCATGATAGCATCGAGACAGCAGAATTAGCTCTGATTCCCTGTAATCTTAACGAAGTATTATGCGATTAGAAGCACAATCGGCTCTGGGCGGCCATGTAGATATGATTTACGATAAATCAGGGCGGCATGGATTTTCTCCAATGGTGAGTTCCTCTCCGGGTCCTTTGGTTACCACGAAGACCTTGTTTGTCTCGGTGAAGGCCTCACTGGAACCGGATTTGGGCACGCTAATGTCCACCTGACAAGCAAAGAAAGTTGCTGCTCCTTTGGGATACAGATATAATAAAAAAACCACATTTATACTCAAAAAACGTAATTATAAAATTTCCGGCTATCCGTACGTGTATGTACTTGTCCCTATACAGCGCTACATAGACGAAACGGAATTATTTAATGAAATGAGGTCCGCTATTTATTTGTTACAGCTCGTATGTTATACTTATAAACTTCTGTTAGACGTGCCGATCATATGCGGCAATATTCTCCAGTGAATCGTATTATCCTGCAGTTGGAAGACGAAATCGCTTACCACCATCGAGTATTTGGTGATGCCGGGCTCCGTAGCCGACGTTTCATAGCTCACGACGGTCAAAGTTGCCTTCATATGTCGGCCACTGCAGTAGGAAGCTATCGGCTTCCCGTCCACGATGTTCGCCTTCCATGCGTCCTTTAATAAATGATAAAAGGTCATTCATGCGTTTGCTGTTGGAGCACTGAGGTTAAGCATACGTTGGCAATTTTGTTGGATTCTTCGTCTCCGTCCATAGCGGCAACGTAGGCGACGGCCAGCAGCAGTACCAGCGAAACCTTCGACATTTTGAGCGTGGTGAGATAAGTTGAAGTTGAAGGGTAAGTTGAAGAAAAATTAAGTAGTGGATATCCGATATGAATGTTTTGATTCCATTCTGTACCCGCCTTTAAATAAGAAATCGACGAGGAATCAGGTGCGGTAAAAATACTTTGTTTGCTAGAAGTGTATGCTGAAGGCCATCGTTTCCAGGCATGTGTAAGTTCTTAAGGTCCGTCAGACGACGCCAGTTGCCAAAGGAATATACTCTGTCTCGACTACGGCGCACTATCCGGAACTATTCCAGGCTTTCTACCCAGACAAACTGCATAATCACTAACCACTTTGGCACAACGCACGCCTCTTGAAAAATGTTGACGTGTTCTGCGTTGATAAAACCGGTAAAAATTACAACAATAAATTATCATGATGGTCGTGTCCACCGGCTGTATTATGTCTGCTTCGCTGGATTAAGCCTTTCTTCATTTCGGGACGATTTAATCATTATAATGTGCGCAATCATTCAGATACTCGTAATTAATGTTCGTCGCCACCGTCAAGGCAGGAGTGCCGTTTGTTGTTGCAGGTAATTTGAACAGACATGTCTAACCATAAGTCATAATTACAATTATCGATCACGCCTGTCAATACTATGCGTTATTCAACCCTGACTATAAGAGTTTTGTTAATTTTCTGACTTCCGTAAAACCGTGCCTGGCCCGGCCGGAACACACAAAAAGATATCTATGAGGCGCATAGAAAACCATCCCTTTTTGTGACTGGTATCCACCCTCAATTTGAAAAAAGACTTTCTTATGGGCCAACCATCTCGCATAAAATCAGAATACTCTGAAGATTTGTGGCGATTGCGAACACTGAATGTCTCTGTGCCTATAGGCACAGAGACATTCAGTGTTCGCAGTTATAATTGGTAACACCATCTTCGAGGCCTCGAAGATGGTGTTACCAAAGCCCGGGCTCGACTAGCCGGGAGTAGGGAGTAATTAAGATTACTTAGTAACAGAATTTTCATCGTGCGCCTGATAGACAGAACTCGAATGATTTATAGGAAAGGCTCACCATTACGACGCGAGGAAATTATATTTTAATAAATAATCAAATTAGTCAGCTGAATCGACGCGGTTCTCTAGGGGCTGTATTGTATTTCATACAATACAGACTTCACTGTATACAATATCTTCACTGTATACAGTATACGTATGTATTGTATACGTATACAATACAGTGGAGCCCTTTGAGTAGGGCGATGGCTGAATGAATTTACACAGTTTGTAAGTGTCGAAGCTGACCGTCTGACCTTTGTCTTAATTACTGTATTTTATTCTCCTGCAACGGCTATGTGAGCGTGATCTGACTTTTATAAGTAAAGTTAGTAAACAGATAGTCTGCTGCATTAATACGTAGTGCTTATGCCGCGTAATACGTGGCTTCATATGCACTACGATTGTTATTGCTGAAGAGCCTAGAGCCGCAGAATGTCGACATATGATTGAGGATGGTGCTGGTACGAGGTACGAGGTGCTGGTACGTGCTGGTGCTCGTATATGTTGGATCCCTACTGTAAGGGGCTTTGGAATTCGGACAGGATCTGTCTGCAGAGTGGAACCATACGTGTATGTATTAGCAAATGTGGCGCCCGTTTATACGCAACATGACAATTCAATGTGATGCCAGCCGCGGTTGGATGGCTGAGCCATCCATAATTCAATATATATAGGTTTAGCTGCTTGAAGTAAAACTCTGTCACGTCTTGGCACAGATGTTTATTGTGCCACTCTGGCCGGATAGATACTGAGTAATAATGATAATAATGGAAATACTCGTAGTACCACATAAAATGCGTCCTCTACAGGTCAACACAGTCATGCGGGTTGCTACGCGCTAATATGGCGCGTAGCCACTACACTACATCTTCACCCTTAAAATGAAGTGAAAAAGCAGAACATTATGGCAAAATGTCGAAATAATCTTCCTCGACATTGTAGACGGTATTGACCTTTTCCTTCTTCTTGTTGTCCTTCTGCTGGCATGCCCTCTCTATATGGCCTTTCATGCCGCAACCATTGCATCTGGTGTTTTTATACCAGCATTCTTCTGGCGTATGCCGCCAGGATCCACATCTTTTACATTTCCGCCGGGACGGCATCTCTTCTTCACTTCCACTTTCGTCATCATTCTCTTCCTGTCTCTTTTCTCTACTGCTCTTCTCCTCTTTCTTCACTCTTATTTCTCGCTTCTTAATGTTGTTCACCACATTCTCTTCCACATTAGTTTTTCTCGCCTCTTTCACGCTTGTTTCATATTTGATAGCAATTTGGAGGGCGGCGTCGAACGTCTTCAGCTCTTGCAGCATTAGGTAGCGTCTTGTTGCGTCGCTTTTGACGCCTGCCACGAGCACAGCACTTAAATTCTTCTCCAGCACTGTTGCCGGAAAGTCGCATAGGATCGTTTTGTCACGTAAACGTGTCGCGAAGTCCACCAGGCTTTCTTTTTCGTCCTGCCGAAGACTGAAGAACAGCGCCCACTCGGTTATTTGGTTTGTGTACGGGGCGTAGGCCGTTTCCAGCTTCGTGACCAGTTCACCCAGTGTGAAGTCGGACGGCATCTTGGGTTTGCACATCGAAACTAAAAGCTGCAGGGCCTTCGTGTCCAGACTGTTTATTAGCAAGGCACGGTGCTTGTCCGTATGAAGGTCGGTCAGCACAGTATAATTATCATACAAAACTTCCACGCCTTCCAGTCCATGGTTTCCGGATTGAACTTGGTCAATTGATCGGTTGTGGTCGTCATTTTCGATCTCTTATTATATAGCGCTCGCTTTTCTCCTTCCGCTTCAGAGTTCAGAGAATACTACACTTCACGCCAATTGTCACGTCTTGGCACAGATGTTTATTGTGCCACTCTGGCCGGATAGATACTGAGTAATAATGATAATAATGGAAATACTCGTAGTACCACATAAAATGCGTCCTCTACAGGTCAACACAGTCATGCGGGTTGCTACGCGCTAATATGGCGCGTAGCCACTACACTACAAACTCCTTGTGATTTTATGCAAATAGCTTTCTATACAGATATTTAGTTGACTGTACATGTTGACTGGATTAATTTTTAACATAATTTTCAAAATGTATTGCCAAAATAGCTTGCGATTAGTTTCAGATGGTACTATAAATATATCTCGTGTTTTAGCAACAAAATCAATGTTTTCCTTGGCTGATGCATAACGTCGTCGAATAATGCAAATCGTTTTCCGGTATCACAAAGTCCTTAGTTTAATGCGTGACATCGGGTTATGCTTTTCACATCAACTATCAAGACACCAATAAATTAGAATAATGATGTCACCGTTATTAATAAAAAAAACGTCTTTGTTTGCCGGAAGATAGATTACATAAGTTCTTCGCCTATAACATAGAACACTAGAAAATATTAAGACCGTTAACCGAGAAGCCGAGACAACGGCAACAGCGGTTAACCAATCAGTACTCGGTTGTACGAGTACGTTAGTTACTCACAAAATCACGCATTACAACTACATCATTTCAGCACATAATACCTCTAATTTAGTTGTCTTTAAGTTGGGGTTTGTTACGCAAACGTGACATCCCTGGACAGCTTTAAATCCTGCACAAGGATGCAAGTGCATTTAAAAGTTGCAGTATTGCGCGGAGCAGCTATTTACCACCCAACCGGCGAATTCCGTTTTCATGATTCCAGAACATTACTTGCCACGCCTGGTAGCTGGGAAGCGGTGGTCGTTTTCACATGAATGAATGACATTATGGAGGTAAGAACCCATACATTTGCCGGCTAAAAAAGGGCACAAATATGAGGTATAAAGAAAACAGTTTATACCGAGAGCATTTCTGTTTTGCGAAATTATCCCTGTTAGCTACCCTAGGGCTAATGGCATTATGGACTGGCTAGCTGGGCTGGAAATCGGTCCATAATTTGTCGTTACACTCAACATTTCTGAACAAACTGAAGTTATATAATATAACAATCACTTATTTGCATTATCAGTATAATATATGTGCTCACTAGTTAGGTCCACTAGTTAGATCGTATAATTTATGTAATTTCTACTGCCAGCTCGGATCAGAACCGCGCGCGCGCGCATCTCATCTGGTCGAAATTCTCATCTGGAAATTTTCATCTGGTCGAAAGTCGATATTACCAACTTAATCGTACTTGTACAGACAAAATTACTTAAAATTTTCTACATAATTCTGCACACAGAGATCGAGGCTACACGAGTGGCGCAGTTGCAGATACAGCTGATTAAGATGATTCAAAGTTTAGACAATAATATCTTATGTAATAATACTTTTGGTAATTTTAAATATTTCTGCTTTTGAATTGGTGTGCAGGTCTCTTGAGCTTGAACAGATGCAGCTCGCTGTTATACCATATTTAAAATTAATACCTGTGCTGTGTGCGTACCGAACGGGATCGTTTCCGGTGCTCGCAAAGATTAGCTACGCTCAAAATACGTAGAGCCGCCCCGGTCGCTTTCACTGAATTATGCTTTTTGAATCAGCAGGAATTTTTGTCGGCAATTTCTTGTGTGTTGGCGCTGGATCCATGAAAATTTGGTTAATGTAGTCAATTTAGTTTAAATTAAATTCTGATCATTTAAAGTATAACAATATCTAAAAAATTGAATACATTACCTGCACTTGTGTTAGTAAGATATCGGAAAGTGAATGCTAACAAGCATGAAGCCGAACGTACTGTAGCTGCAGTTTTATACATGTGCCGTACTCGTATAATTATTGACTTCGAATCCGCAGCCGTTGCCGCAACGCATGTACTGTATTCCAGTTTCCACGTTTGTTTATTTCATCGTTCATTTTACTCACACCTTTAACTAGCGCATCATTCTTGTCAACTGTCAAAATTTTTGGCACCGGATTTTTCATTGGCATTTTTGGTTCTGTATCTACGGGCAGAACCCGTTTCGGTTTGTGCAACAAGAAACAATCAAATCAACAACTGCAACAGAGCGCTGTGCAGGTCTACACAAATTGCCGGTAAATTGTGATTTATGATAAATCACCGCGGCAAGGATTCTTTCCAATGGTGAGTTTCTTTCCGGGTCCTTTGGTCACTTCAAACACTTGGTTTTTCAAGGTGAATGCCTCGCTGGAACCGGATTTGGGCGTCGCAATGTCCACCTGTTCAGTCAAATGCATCCATTATTTTATTGGATTAACAGAGTTACAACGTCGCATTTTTGCACAAAAGCTCCACTACATTTCCTACTCTTCATACTTTGTACTGCACTTTACACATATTACTTTTACAAACCAGGGACCCGGTCCCGACACTGGTTTTCTACGGATACGGGCTACTCAATAGTATATATACTCGTATATATGTATATATATATATATATTTCTTATGTTACATTGCGACAATATTGTTAATCGACTACCGTAATAAATAGGCATGAAATTGTTTTACCTTCATGGAATATTTGGTGATGCCGGGTGTTGTAGCCGACAATTCATAGCTTTTTACCGTCAGGGTGGCCGAATTCATTCGGCCTCCGCAGTAGGAAGCGATTGCCTTCCCGTCCACGATGGGTGCCTTCCATGCATCCTGGAAAAGTATATTGTGCGATAAATCCTGATCATTGAGTTCAGCGGAAAAATATATTTAAATTAAGCATACGTTGGCGACTTTGGTGGAATCAGTATCACCCTTCTTAGCGGCGACGTAGGCCACGACCAGCAGCAGTACCAGCGACACCTTCAACATGTTGAGTGTAGTGATGTAGCAGGTGTATATTGAAGAAAAATGGAAGGCGGTGGGTATGAATGGTTTTTTTGGCTGCACCCGGCTTTAAATAAGCATTCGACTGGGAAGCAGGTGCGGTGAATGCGTTGTTTGTTGAAAATATAGATACGCTCGGAGCAATGATTCCAGCTCGGGTTGGTTATTTGTTAGAAGCCATGGCTGGCAGCCGAACAAATACCGGGTATACGGCGCAAAATCCTCAACCGTCCCATTCTTTCCATCGTGAACATGGACAGTAAAATAAATAATAACAAATGTACTAAGCATCATAGCATGCAATGATATTGAATGAAAATTTGTGATATTGAAAAATAAATGATATTGAAGGACATGCATTTTTGCGGTAAGTCGGAAATACAATACAAGGCACAAGTTGTATATATTTTTTATATTTTGAAAATGTAGATTTATGCAGTAATAGCCAATATCTATGCCTTATGTGTACATCGATACAACAATAATGCAATAATAAATAATGTTATCATATGCAAGAATTAATGCACGCAATAATGCTCTTCATTCAAAGCTCTCCCTCGCAAAGCCCCAAACGAAAACTTCGCCTTTTTAAGTTCCCTACAACCATTGTAATATCAGTGCATGTAAATACTACATAATATGCAATAGTTATGTATAGATATTTTGTAGCGATTATATGGCTCAAAGTAATTAATTCGAGCCACAATTAACTGTACATAATACTTTTATCGATGTGCCCACTCAGTACTCGCATCCGTATGGTACGAAACTTATTTATAAGGATATAAATTATATAAAGTGCTACTATGCGATAAAAACAACTTTTTGTACATAATATCCTTGTTGCCATTTATCGACCGCTAGAAAAAAACACATAAAGGGATAGTTTATAAAAAAATCAGCATTTTTAGAAGAGAATAAAATGGAGCACAACATCATGTTGTCAATTGAAAATTAATCATCGAAGTAGACAGTTTCTGCCAGCCAGCATCTGCGCATCGTCTCTTACAAACTGACATTCGCACACATCTTTTCTGTAGAAACTCGATTAATCAGTTACTTGACTATGAGTAGATAGGTCACCCAAAATCCAATGATCTGTAAGCAACGCTCAGCTAAGAAAGAATTATAGCGGGTAACAAATTCAGTACTTACGTAACATTACCAAAATCGGCCTATCGAATGAACAGAATCCTCCAAGAGTCAGCGAAGAAGGTCGAATTGGCATCTTATCTATAGTTAATAAATAGTTCAAGTGGGGATTCTTCAAAGCCTGACCAAAATCCTGCAGATCATTCCATAATTTTTCCGTAAGCTTCCGTATCAACAGCCATGGCATGTTTACATGTACCGTACTAAAAGCTACAAATGTACTGCAAACTAGTATATCACACGAACCGCAATCCCTTGAAATAATTATATAAGCAGATCTAAGCATGGTGAGGTTGACGCGGCACGCTGAACTGTCGTATGCAGTTTCAAACACTGCCGTAGAGCCACCGGGGACTAATAATTTATTACAAACGTGAAACTGTAATTTTACAATTTCAAAACAAGAGCACTAAAAACTAGTATTTTGTGCAAGCGCTAAGAACTCAAAATGCTGCGGTGCACAGGTTTTGTTTTATTTAGGAAAACAAAAGTTACCGCAACTGCTTCACAAATTAATAAGTAAAAGCGGTATATACCACTTTAGCAAGCATTTATCAGCGCTAACGCACCCGGTTATAGAATTTTATCGCCGTATAGGTAGGAACGACAATCAGCCCCTGATGTTCCAGACCAAAACAGCGGCTTGGCAGAATAAACGCTGCCACTTGTGCGGACTACCATCTTGTATGGCCGTATGGAATGCGCTAAGGTCGCACAAAACAACTGACACTAGACGGATAAGGTGCATCAGCATGATGAAAGAAAAACACTCTTCTAATTCGAAGACCACTCTTCCGGTAGCAGTGCACACACCTCGATTCTTCGAGCAACAGAACGATAACGCAAAAGTTCTGTATCTTTCTTCGAACAGAGCCCAATGTCATAGTTGAGAAATGCGCAGTAGGTGATGACTGCCAGATACGAACGCTGTAGTCTGTAATGACCGTCTACTGTTGTATTTTATCGTTACTTACCGTAGCGAAAGTTTGCCGGTCACAAGCACAAAATCCACCCAATGTGGTCAGAACGGTTTTGTTTGCATGACCGTCAGGATCCTGACGGTCGGCTACGTGACAGTTCGTTGCGGGACATTTGGCTTTACGGACATTTCGTCTAAGGACAACTCGTCTTTTTGACAAAGACTGTTCGCTGCCATAAACCAGTCGATACATTTTCGACTCCCCAAAATGGCACACAACAGAACGGCTGCAAAACAAGTTGTTCCAAAAAAATTAGCCGTTGCGACGAAAAACGTGTGGCGAACTGTCCCACGGCGAAATGTCTCGCGACTGCACTTGGGCTGTCACGGTCAGGAGATTCGCAAGGCTGGAATAATCTTCCACGGAACGTTTCGTCTGTTGCATAAGGATCCAGACGCTGTCCACCAGTAGAGCACACCGCAGGAGTATAAAATGACTTATTAAGCGTTTGATTGATGAGGAAAGCGTTTACTTATTCCTGCATAATACCAGCTCCGATTACAAATCTTATCCTGAAATGCAGAGACCAGATGTGTAGGATAATAAATAAGTCCCAAAGCGTTCCACAGCAGAATCCCGATGAGTTCCGGAAAGAGCTCCCATTTGCGATTATTGTTACTCCGAATGACGTTATTGTCCCGGCCGATGGGAACGCTAAGGATACCTGGAAAAACGTTGCACAGGGACCTCTATCCATTGTGTCCGATATGTATCCGAACAAGTTTTCAGGCGAGAATTTGTGCTTTGTGACTTCGTGCTTTGTGCGAACTGCAGATGCTGATTAAGATGATTTAAAGTTTATACATTATTTTATGTAAGAAATAATAATTTCGTAATTTTCAGTTTTCCTGTTTTCGGGTGAGTGTGCAAGTTTCTTGAACTTCTGTAGATCTGTAGAGTGTAGATGTAACTTTCTGTTATACTATGTTTAACACCTGTACTCTGTGCGTACCGGGCGGGATCGTTCTGGCTGCACGCAAGGAGTCTGTGTGTTTTTTTATTTTCGTTTTCACTGTCTAGCCCAACATTTTAGGCTAAATAAACAATGAAATTTTCACATGTCGTTGCAAGACTCATATGGAATAATTACAGACGCTCAATATACCGACATAAAAATACGAATATATATTATTAATTAATTACAGACGCTCCTGCCCGGCTTCCATGTCGCTGTCGGTTTCTTGTATGATCTACGTATATACATTATACATAAGCGGTATTTTGTAAAGAGCAGGATCGAGCGCTGTACAAACTTTCGCACGAACAGACAACGCAGTACTTTTCTGTATACATTCGCGGAATTAGGTAGCATTGTACACGTAGGTCAGCATAAACGGTTGTCAGCAGGTTCTTGTGTTTTGTCGCTGTATTTGTTTCTTCGTATCCACGAAAATTCAATTAATATAACCAAAGCAGTCTATTAGGTGAATTTTAACCCTATGAAGGTATAACAAAAATTTAAAAAAATCAGTAAAAAATATCAGTATCAGTCAATATCAATATTCTAATCAATATCAAATTCAATATTACTTTTACATGCACTTATGTTGTTAAGATAGCGGCAAATCAATGCTGCCACGCACGAAGCCGAACATTGCAGCAGTAAATACTCGTAATACACATGCTGTAGTACCGTAATATACTCGTACATAAAGTATCATGTTGATGACTTTAAATCAGCAGCCGGTGCCACAACGCAGGTACTGTTCTCTGTACTCCGGTTTCCACGCTTTGATTATTTCATTGTTTATTTTATTCACACCTTCAAACGCATCATTCTTATCACTGTCATAAGATATTTGGCACCGTATTTGTCATTAGTTTTGTCGACAGTATTTGCACGGGCAGAACCCGTTTCGGTTTGTGCAACAAGAAACGATCGAATCAGGCAGATCTGTTTTTGAGTCTGTAATTGCAGCAGAGCTCTGTGCTGGTCTGCAGATACTCAAATCGCCGGTAAAATTGTGATTTATGATAAATCACTGCGGCAAGGATTCTTTCCAATGGTGAGTTTCTTTCCGGGTCCTTTGGTCACCTCGAACACTTTGTTTTTCATGGTGACGGGCGGGCTGGAACCGGATGGGGCCGCCGCGATGTCCACCTAGTCAGTCAGAGACGTTCATTATTTCACTGAATGCAAGCGTTACAAAGACGCTTTTTTGCACACAAGCTCTAACACTTTTTCTACTGCCATTACTTTAGGCATATTTTTTTTACGAAACAGAGTTCCAACGCAGATCTAGTTTACTACGGATGCGGGTTACTCTGCGTGCGTTTTTTTTATATTTATATATTTATATGTATATAAATATATATACAGTAGCTACAGCCATTAGCTTTATAACTATCTATATTTATTTATATACGTGTATATATTTCTTTTGCGACGTTGCGACAATATTATTAACCGAAAACCGCAGTAAATAAATACATAGGCACGTTTCTTTACCTTCATGGAGTATTTGGTGATGCCGGGTGTCGTAGCCGACAGTTCATAGCTCTTGACCGTCAGAGTGGCTGAATTCATACGGCCACCGCAGTAGGAAGAGATCGGCTTCCCATCCACGATGTTAGCCTTCCATGCGTCCTTAAAAATACATTGTGCGATAAATTCTGATAATTAAATTCAGCGGAAAAATGTATTTAAATTATTAAGCGTACGTTGGCGACTTTGGTGGAATCCGCATCGCCCTTCATAGCGGCGACGTAGGCGACAGCCAACAGCAGTACCAGCGACACCTTCAACATGTTGGATGTGGTGATGCAGTAGATGTATGATGAAGAAAAATGGAAGGTGGTGGGTATGAATGTTTTTGTTAGCTGCACCCGGCTTTAAATAAGTATTCGACTAGGAAGCAGGTGCGCCAAATGCGTTGTTGTTGAAAATATAAATACGCTGGGAGCCATCATTTCCAGGCCCGAGTGGGTTTTTGTTAGAAGCCATGGCTAGCAGCCAAACAAATACCGGGTACGGCGCAAAATCCTGAACTGTTTCACGCTTTCAAACCTGAGCGTGAACAGTGAAACAAATATTAACAAAGGTAACTCAGCATGCGATGATACTGGTGAAAAACTGTGCAATACAGGCATACTTGTATTTCTACGGTAAGCCGGAAGTATCGGCAGAAATTAAACGCTATATATTGTATTATACACGAAGATAAGTAAATAGTAAGATAAGTATAGATAAGTAGATAAGTATGTTCTACACGAAACGTATAATGTACGTATAACATATTATAATTATTATACACGAAAATTTATACAGTAGTACATTGCAGCAATACTGCACTAGTCAATAATGCATTAATATGCCGCAGTGCAGCGCTTTAATTCTTTTCATTAACCAGCACCAACTAAGGTTTCGAATTTTTTAGGTCTGTACAATCATTGTAACATCCAATATCCATATATGTTATTACTTATATCACTTTTATGCAAGAATTATTCATTTTGTTGCGATTATACGACTAGAAATAAATAATTCGAACCACAATTAATAGTAATACTTTTATCGATGTATCCACTGCCCCTCAGTACTCGTATCTGTACAATGCAAAACAGTTATCAGAATATAATAACATAACCTACTCGGAAAAAGTGCAACCACGCCGTGTAATACAGTTATTTGTCTTGTTGCCATTTTGTCGATCGTTAGAAAGCGCCTGAAATGAAAATTTATGAAGAATACAACTAATTGACAGTTTGTCATAATTTCGATTGGGTATGGATCTAACAGTGAGGGTGACTGACTTGGATTTGAAAATTCATACTTAGCAATTTAAAATAAAGTTGACGTGCGTACAAATATTATTAATGAGGAATGGGAGATTTAAACTGATGTTATAAAATTTGTGACGTAATTTGTGTTGGATGTGGACTTTTTTAAAATAAAAATCTCTTAAAACCAATTTTTTCACATAAACGTTACTGGCTTAACAACCAGTCTACCTGCTTTCATATTTCGTAAGTAATTGCACGATTAACCGAGTTTTATTTAAGAGCAGTACTTATGCAAGTGCAGTTGCAAATAAGCTATTCATGTGGATTATACCCAGGCAGCTGTGTTATGCAACCACGTTGACCGAATTCACCTAAGGCACGCCTCATAAAAAAGTCTGACTTATGCATCGGTGAAAAAAGCGGTAATACATATTTACAACAATCAATTAATAATAATTGCGATTATGGCATATCCTATTATGGCGTTGCAAGTCCACCGGCTCAGTCTGCGCTTACGGTTGGTAGCTGGATAAAAGCTTTGTTTCGGCATAGATTCAACTGGCATATGCTGATTGCATGTGAATTATATATGTAATGCTTATTACTACATGCTTAGCCTTAAGCTAAGAAACGTACATACCGCATAATGACGCACATTAGTCGCGCAGATGATTTAATCGTAAATACTCTGGCATGCTTTGACCACATAAACATACGAGTACTTTTCTATTTATTGGCTGTCGATAGTGATATTTAATTCAGACCGTTAAAATTTTTTAATTGGCCGGCTTTCGTAAAACCGCCTTACCCAGTTGGGCATATAAAGCAGTATGGATAAAATAGTCGATCTATTTTTGTTAACTACGCATATTACCCACTCTCAGTTGGGATATTTAATATACTAATTTTTTTTAAATATATCCTGGGAAAATTTACGAACGGCCAGACGCATTATTCGAGCACGTGGCATCTACAAGAAAAAACGTATGCCTGTTCGCCACTTCCTGCAGACCAAGGCTGACTATGGAGCAACCGGAAGTGCATGGATTAAACGATCAAGTGTCGGTTTTAGTATCACTTGCAACTTGGGAAACATCTAACCCGGCAACTCGTGGACTTCTAAAACTCTTAAACTTCCTATAGTTTTCTGGTAGCGCATCTGAACCTGCTTTATCAGGTGGACGATGACCTTTATAATTACATCTACCAATAAATCCTGTAACAACAAGAGGCAGAGCTCCTTTATAGGTATTCGTTAACGAATGCACACATACCTAGAATGATGTCCACTACAGCAATGTTTAACGTTTAATCCTTTGACGTCCGCACACAGTTTGGGTTTACACCCAGTTCCACAACAGAAAAACCAAATCTGCAAGAGAACATGAAGTACGATTCGCTAAAAAAAACTAGAGCTATTGCATTTCCAGTACCTCAACGTGGTCAGCGTGGTAAAATTTTTTCAGTGATGCGACAGACTTCCGGTCAACACTATCCAAAGCTCTTTAAAGGCAATGTGATATACAGAGCTAGACAAGAAACACCAATCAAACGTTGATTTTAGCGTGTGGCTGCTGTTTTAGAAACATTAAGTACGGGATCGACTACGGAGATTTTATTTGCTTTATCGGTTTTTAAAATCTAATTGAGTTTAAATGGAACTCCCTGGCGAAGGCTTGATACTTGTACAGGCATTGGCCGATTAACATAAAAACAAACAGTTTTTGCTGTTTTTGTGCTACGTCTTATACCTACGTCAGTGTAAAAAAGATATACTTTAATTCACAAAAAACGAGCGATGGTTGCTGTTTTTGATGATCATATCTGTATTAGTGATGGTTGGAAAAATGAGGTTACAATAATGCGCCTTCAAGAGAAATCCAACTACGTTTGAGTGAATTTGCCCAATTTGACATTACGTGCTTTACTTGCCAGCAGACCCATAGTTAATTGGACAATCCGCAGAATTCTTTTCTGGATATATCATCGCTCATTCGTAGCGGGTATGAGTTCATTTTCTTCAGCATTTGATTTAATACCAGTAATAGCATAGCATTTGATTTATTACCGTCCCCGGCAAACCGTACAACAGGTGTTTGCAAGATGCGATGAACGTTAATTAAAATTCAAACGGGAAACTACCAGTCCAGAAAAACGTCCGCCGGAAATTCTGCCGCAAAGTTGGATTTCCACTGGGACGGTTTTGTCAGAGATCGAGTAAACCCGAAGCTGCCAAAGTGTAAGATCGTAGCCGGACGGCTTTTAAAATAGGTGGTGTGCCGCTGTGACCGGCAAAAACGTGCCCGTATACGTATTTTTGCCGTATTCCAATACCATCACCGCCAGAACGATACCCCTTTCGCCAGATTCAGGACGAATGCAATTAGGGGGAAACCGATTTCAAATCAGTTCGTGATTTTTTGTAAACTGCACACGGCGTTACCATATAGCGGTTATTTTTTATGTCGGCTTTACTGCCTCTGGTTTCCTGTATACAGATTTGGCAATAGCACCATCGGACTGTGCTGCCTATGCAAAATCGGTTGGGCGGCGCCACCAACATCATATCGTTGTTCACGAGTAATTTGCGACGAGGATCAACTGTTTCCATCGTCAATCTGAGTACTTGTACTGGAATGAATAGGCTCTGCCTCTTCTTTGTAAATATGCAGCGTGCCAGACTTCAGCATTACGAATTGAGTAATTATGCAACAATGGAAGAAAATGATGAAAGTTTAGCATAGGAGATTATCAGCTGATGGTGGACGATTTCACAATGGTCTCGTACATTGTGAAACACATTTTCAGAGCCAAACCCCCTTGCCAAAGTTTGAGGCTGATGGCAGTGATCGATCCAACCCAGTACATCGCGTACGCCCACAGTCCGGACTTGGGTAGCGTTCGGTTGAGTGAGAACGTACAGATACGTAAAGCACAAGGTGATGTGCTCTGCGTTGTCGGTGATGTGCTGTGCTTGGGCTTTAAGCGATAAAGAAGAGCTGGACGTGGCGGACTGCGTGCGCCCAGATAAGGAAACTTCACCCGGTTTTTAATTAGCAATGCTGTACATCTGTATTGAGGATACCGATATGAAGTACGAGCTGGGCAAGCTGCTTCGCTGCTGGTGCCCCGTACGTCACTTTCGTGCACACTGGTCGCAATTATAACTGGTCGCACGGACGAGGTAACGTCGCCGGTCGCAACCTGCCAGTGATCGACAGAGGACAGAGTATCAACCTCCTAAACGTTTGCACCGACCTGGGCACATGCCGTCTGGAGAACGTCACCCTGGTTATCGTCAATTTAAAAACAAAAGGCCAATAAATAAAGTATTCAGGTTCCTATATCTCAACCTGTCTTTCTTGAATTAGCAGAATCCTCCAAGAGTCAGCGAAAGAGCTAGTTCGAGCCACCCCCACAGTTAACACATGGCTGAAGTCCGGACCCTTAGAAGCCTGACCCGCATCCTGCAGATCGTGCCATAATTTTTCCCATAAGCATGCACCCGTAGCCTGCATAACAGCAACATCAGTTTAATACATGCTTGCTAATATAGCGCACACGTCACAATAATTACTGTACATGATCGACTAGCTGCGCTATGCGGAAAACCGATATGATGCGAAGGTTTCAATAAGAAAAGTTTTTGTACTACAATTAGTGCAACTCCTCAGCACTAAGAAAGCAAAGTGGTATATCCTTTTAACTTTCTTGCGTAGTGCTACGATTTGACTACGCAGGTGGGAATTTTATGTAAACTACGACCTAGCGTATACATGCCGATATTAAATGAAGACATGACGCTTGCGACGCAGCAACATGATGATAACAGTCTGCTGCAACGGATTTCTGCAACGGCCCTTTTAAGCTTTTGGCTGTGGACCAACCGAATACTGGGTATATATACCGCGTTCCCGTGAAAAAGAAAACACTCTCAATACCGAAGAAAAAACTGATCGTCAATATGGTTTCTACTTTGTCGCCGAATCTTTCACATGCACCATAAACACGATCAAAAACAACGGTTTATGGATAATGTCTGCCAGTTACTGGGCGGCGTCCATAAGATTATTTGGCCGGCTTTTTCATGTTTCATCT